TACGTACTTTTTTAGACTGTGACTTAAGTGATATTTCGGAAATAGTACAAGGGCTTATTTGACCATTTTTCCAATTTAGTTTAATGAAAAGGAATGCTCCTTAATACTTAACACATTCATATATTTGCATTTACTTTCAAAACTACAACACATTAATACTTTTGAATCGGTCATGCTCATATTTTAACAAAATATTAGCACACATATTCTTCTTTACAGACATTATACTACCCTTTTACATGATTGTGTGAATATATTAACTTCCATTGATGTTTATCATTTTAATACTTTCAAAGTGACACTATCGGGGCATGCCCCGGGTGTTACAGTAGTGAGGTGTCTAATGTAGACTTAATCAAGCAAATTCAATTATTGGAGTCCAATGAGCCGGATATTATACTCCACACCATTATTGTCCATATGTTTAAGTTTAGAAGTGCTTATTTAAGTTTATAAACCCATTTCATGTACTTTTGAAATCTAAATGTTACTTTATTAAATATAGTTATTAAAGTTAAAGAAATTCACCGGATGATTCACCAAAAAAACATTGATATTTGCACGGACTTCGCACGGATTGTGCCATTTGTGCGAATTTGGCACGAACCGTAACATATTTTTGGCACAACGTAGTGCCAAATTATTGGTGACAAAACGAGATTGGAATGGAATTTGGCACGGCTTTGACGCATCCGTGCCAAATCCGTGCCAAAGACCTTATGAATTTTGCCAAAACTTCGTGTCAGATCCGTTCCAAAATCGTTATTTTTTGTAGTGATTATGTAATTAGATTGCCTAATAAATTAAAGTATTTCCTAAAAGTTGAAACTTCATTCCCATATTTGTTATTTATATAAGGATGTTTTTACGTGGATTGTTTTCAGTCTCAAACCAGACTAGGTCACACTAGTATTAACAATAATAATGACGATGATAATAATAAATTATAATAACAACAATAACAATAATAGTAACCATACAAAATAATTTTTAGGGAAATTAAAGTTAGCGATTTAGGCTACACCATCCCCTTTAGATATCAAGTTTGTGATCATATGAAATTTCCATTAAAAGAGGTAGTTCTTTGACTGGCAAGATAATTTCAAAATGTGTAGTGATTTTCAAAACCACTACGTATTAATGCTTTTGAATCGGCCATGCTCTTATATTAACAAAATATTACCACACATAATCTTCTTATTATTACAGACATTATACTACCCTACTTTACATGATTGTGTGAATATTACGAAGTATTAACTTCTATTGATGTTTGTCGTTTTAATACCTATGAAAGTGACACTATCGGAGCATGTCCCGGGTGTTACACTAGTGAGGTGTCTAATGTATACTTAATCAAGAAAATTCAATTATTGGAGTCCAATGAGCCAGATATTATAATCCACATCATCATTGTCCATATATTTAAGTTTAGAAATGCTTATTTAAGTTTTCAAACCCATTTCATCTACTTTTGAAATCTAAATGTTACTACGTACTTTATTAAATAGTTATTAAAATTAAAGAATTTCATCGGATGATTATGTAATTAGATCAGATTGCCTGATAAATTAGAGTATTTCCTAAAAAGTTAAATTTGCATATTTTTTTAATCTATATAAGGATGTTTTTACTTAGACAATTTTCAGTCCCAGACCAGATCAGACTAGTATTAACAACAACAATAATAATGATAATAGTAATAAATTACTATGTACTACGTATATATAATAACAATAACAATAATAGTAACCATACAAAATAATTTGTAGAGAAATTAAAGGTTGCTATTTAATTAGGCTAAACTATCCCCTTTAGACGATTTAAATTAAAAGTGACAACTCCGGTACCCATTTAAAAAATGGGGTTCCGTACCTATCATTCACTTAATTGGTCCAAATCATTATATCAATTTTAATTTAGATTTAAATAATTCAACCGCAATATTCTGATTGATTCATGTAGATAAAAGTATGGTACCTTATGGGTACCATAGAATCTTCCTCAAATTAATTTATTTCGAGCTCTGGAAGGAGGCAGATTTTTTGTGATCATATGAAATTTCCATTGAAAGACATAGTTCTTTGACTGGCAAGCTAACTTCATAGCATCACAAGAAGCTCTCACGCTCTTCTTCTTGTTCATCACCTTCCATTCGATCATCACCCTACAACTGAACCTGTTCGATAAAGCGACTGCCCCACCACCCCCGTAGGCGTCGTCGGAATCCAAGATCCGGAGCACTACCTCCCCGCTGATCCTATTGCATGGGTTACATGATGGCGGCATGCAATCCAACCAGCTGCATTCCGGCTGCCCAACCATCTTCTTGTAAGCGGAATTGGCCAGCCTCACTTTGTTGTTCATGTCGGAGACGACCACCGGATGATGATCCGCCTCCGCCTCCACCTCTACCTCCTTTGCGGTCTTTGGTATCACCATCCCCAATGTGTCTGAGCTCTCTTCTTCTACCATGTCCATGCAGCCAACGAAAATGGTGGACCGGACAGGGTGGACTGGCTTTGGGGTGATCACGCCGGGTTTCCTTTCCGACCGGCAGCGGCTCAACCGTGGCATGAAATCAATTTCCATAGGAATCCGAGCAACTTCCTGGTTCAAATTTATTCTTGATGTCCCTGTCGAGGCTTGCACCGAAATTTCCATCCCCCGTGGAGAAAGATTCCAGTGGGTCGGGATCCGATCAAATAACCCGGTCGGGTAGTTATCTGGAAGAGGAGTACCACCAAGCAAACTAACCTTCTTAAAGGGAATAGGGAGTGAAAAGGCTGAGGAGCCTGATCTCTCCCAAGATTGGATTGGTCTAGCCTGCAAATGAGACCAAACATTCCCGAGGTAAGGCGAGTTCATGATGCTTTCTGGAAAGGCATTGACAGAACTAGAACCTTCGCCAGCATCACCTCTGGCTCCGACTCTGATGAGCGGTGTAAGCTCAGGCTCGGGGGCGATGGGCCTATACGTCGTCAAAATCTCATCATCTTTACTACTGTTGGCGTAATTAAAAGAACCACTACTCGCATAGAAAGGATTAACACCATCCATGATTATTTTGAGTAATTTATAGAAAGCAAGGGATGGATGAGAGATTGAGATATGTTATATTTTCATCAATTCAAGAGGCTGACATGTGATGACTCATCACTGATGAGGAAACGAAGGTGTGTGTGTGTGTGTGTGTGTGTGTATATATATATATATATATATATATATATATATATATAATACTAAGTAGGGTGGGGTGGGGTGGGGTAGGCCGTATGGAGTAAAAAATGAAGAGAGGGCGGGTAGAGGAAGGAGATACATGTGGTGAAGAAGAGGCATTTGACAGAGATCGCTGACATTTGAAGAGGGATAGCGAGGTGTACATGTTACGTGTTTGAGAGCGTTCATCACACTTACTTTTTGACCAATCACCTCGTTTTCCTCGTTCGTGTTATTTCTTCTTATCTTCGATTAGCACGCTAGTGACTCAAGCTTATACGGTTACTAATTAAGATCGGTCTATTAGGGTATTATAATTATTTTTGTTCAAAGAATTAAATACATACTTGTTGTTTATATAATTTTATTTCCACTTAAGGATTTTTTCATATTTTTATTTTTTGCCAATAGTATTACACTTTGACTAATAGTATGAAAAAATGACACAAATATTACCTCTAGCTTTGTGAAATACATAAAGTGGCTAATTTTTTTGACTGTGATTTGTATCCAATCCACCCCCCGTCCCCAAGCCCACCAATGCCCAACCGTTGTGTAAAATTGCCACAAAAAATCACCGTCGAAAATCGCTGTCGAAAAAGTCACCAGAAAACTATATACTCTTTTCGTGCTAATCTGTGCCAAATTCGTGCCAAATCCGCGTGAATCCCGTTATTGTTTATTGTGTTTATGTGTTGCATTGCATCAAGACAAACACAAATCATATTCTCAACTTTACCGCTAAGCTTATGTATGGAAATAAGTGAACCACACGGTAGTGTCATTTTTGGGGTAGGATCCACAAAAAGATAAATTATCGATGAGAAGGGCACGATAGACATGTAATTCATGTCTGCCGAACTTCAACTGGCTATTACATTCACAAAGGCGTAGATGAAAATAGATTCAACTTTTTCATCTAAATTGGGAATGTTGAACATCAATGCTTAACATTTTGCATTGAATATAATAATCTTAATAGAAAGAGTAAAAATTCTCATTTTGTTAATGTAACGGTTTCTACTTTCTAGCATGATTATTTATGAGTTGTCAAGCCTAAAAGTTGATTTTTTTTTTCTAAACTGGTCTGACTATTAGAAAGCAATAATTAAAGTGATCAGAAGCAACACGTTTTTTATCTCTTACTACCTCCGTCCCAGGGAGAAGTTCCCAATTTCCTTTTTTGACAGTCCCAACAAAAAGTTCCCATTTCCTTAACTGGAAAGTTATCCTACATAAAAACAGTGCCAAATAGTGCAAAACAGTGCCAAACAGTAAAATTTACCCCTCAGTAACTTTATTTCCTTAATATGTGTGAAAGTCAACCCGAGAACTTCTCCCTGGGACGGAGGGAGTATGTTTTTATTTTATTCATTGTAATACGAAGTATTTACTAATGTGACTCTTCACGCACCATATGTGTGAAATGACGTGTCAATGATTAACAGAAGAGGCGAAAAATCACTAATGAGTAATGAATTTTAGTTTGTTCTGTGTTTATGTTTTTGTTGTAGGCTGTAGCTATCTACATTGTAAAACTTGCACAACAATAGAAAATGAGCTTGAAGAAGAAAGTACTTGTGTTGCTTAGTTTTTCTTAGTAATACCCCAATTATATTTTGAAGTAATAGCTGATACTTCTCATTGTGAAATGTGGATGCAATATATTCTTCTACAATCACATTGGTCTGTAGCAAACTAGCAAATGTGTTCCAACTTTTTTTGCAAGCATAACAATTAACAAACCAAGTAAGGTGCAATACTAATTCGACACCACAAGGTCACAAACTATAGAAGTTATTAGTAATTCTATGTGAGCACAATAATACGGAGTAGTTCAAAGATTACAAAGTACGTATCAACACACACAAAAATTCAAATATTTAACCATTTAGAAGTGAATACTTGTGAGAAATTACTACTACTGCCTAAATTCATAAATTTAGTCTATTAGTTGACTATTACTATGTACCCAATACTAATTCTAACAATTCAAAATCTGCTAAATATAGTAAAATACTAATTCAAACATATTAATTTAAACAAAACACTAAATAGTAAAATATATTTCATCGAGGAATCAACATATTTAATCTATTTCGTTTTTCATTTTCATTTTCATTGGCACTAGGGTAAATGAAAATGAAAAACTAAATAGATTAAATATGTTGATTCCTCGATGAAATATATGTATACAGCTACAATTCAATGCATAATAGGGGTGTGTGCAGCAAGCCAAGTTCCACTTTGGTTGGTCAACCAACACCATTTGTCTCCATCGAGGCTTCAGTTCTTCTGAAAACCGACGAGCTATATTGAATCATCAGATTCGTCAGAATCACTTCTCTCACCAGCAGGGCCAGCATCAGGAACACTGAGTTTTGCTGCATGCTTGGTTGCTGCTTTCTTATTAGCAGTGCGTGCATTTTCTTCACCGTCTTCCTCTTGTTCAGCCACTTCCACATGTGATCACACGATCAAGGGCAAACAAATGACAAAAAGAAGGCTTGACACAGAAACCAGAAAGAAACATGCAACTCCTTTCCCTTTAGTGGGCAATAAAAAACTTGGTATTGTGCACTGTGCAGCATACAAATTGGTGACAAGAGTTGTCATCCTTAGTGTGAAAATCAAATTTAAAAGTTAAAGCCAAAAGAAATGTCTGTCAAAATTGAGGTATACCCAACACATTTCTCTCCATGCACTTTTGCTCAAATTTCCATTCGTGACTGTTTTTTACTTTTTAACTCTAGAAGACAAATACATTTGCCTTTTAAGTGCTAGCTTGGTAACTCTTTTTCAATGGCGGATCAGCCTTATTAGCTAGCTTTTTACAAAAATACTATTTTTTTATTTAGTTTATGCACTAAATTGACGGGAAAGGACAATTTTAGTTTTTTTTACATATAATGTTTTATTTACCTTACTAATTAAAATTACTTAAAATGAAACTTTTTCAAAATTCAGCAGATTCAACCAACTCAGCTACAGCTTCAACAAATCCAAAAGGTTCAGACAATATTAGTCTTACCAAACGGCATCAAAATCTTTTCTTCACAACTTTACTCACTCAATCATCTTCCGTCTTTTTCATGCTTTTATATAAACCTTAAAACTCTACTATTTATTTCAAGAAAAATACTTTCTGGGGCCAGTAAATGTGAACTGAGAAAAATATAAGGCTAGAAAGGACTATATAAAACAAACCACTTGAAGGATATCTATATTCTCTGCCGTTCCACCAGCCATGATATTCTGCAAATCTTTCTCCACACGCCTCACAAGCTCCGGCTTCAAAATACAACACGATTACTATATTATTAAACTCCGTGTCAGCTTCATATAAATCTAAGCAACATAACATTTAGTTTATTAAACTCCGAGTCAAAAACAGAGCATTAAACGGGAGTGTAGGGACTAAAGCATTAGGCCACAAAGAAATGTACACTTCAAATTTGCTTGTTTACGGGAAAAGATCAAAGTCAGTCAGAGTTTTATATACTCCGTATAAAAAGAATGACAGCAGCATTGCTCACATTTAGATCTGGCTCCCTGCGAAACCTTCGCCTCCGAGCATCTCTCATTGGAGGGGTGAGTCCATGTTTGTACTCCACTCCATCAGGGGCAGGATCACCTTCTTCCCTCACCAGAATCATCTATGAAAATAAATATTAAAAACACACGAGCAATAAAGTAATGCACCACAGCTATATTCAGACAATAAGAGGAAAATATTTGGATAAGTCATAAGTGTAATATGCCTTTGGACTACCTGACCAATATCTGCCGTTTTGATTAGCACACTATCATCATAAGTCTTGTAAGATTCTACTATACATGGAAGATCCAGGAGGGATGTAGGGAAGCGTTCATTTCCTATGACAAATGTGCCACTCCTACCATCCTCTACAAAAAAAAAACCAAAAAAATCAACTAACAAAGTATGAACAAGAATAATTATGAAAATATATGATGTAATGAAGTATTACTTAATGACACTAATAGGCATCATGTTTAATTTGTAATTGTTCTGTTTCACTATCAACAACCTCAACCCACCAATTTAAGTGAACCAGCTTATAGCTTAAGGCAGACACTATAAAGTATAAACCTCAAAAGACAAAATCCTATTTTTACATGGAGACTCTTATAATTACATCTAGAGGTTAGCATAAAACCCATAGCATTGTTTATGAAATTCTTAACTAAATCTTTACAGCCAAATAGTTGACTAGAAATTGCAACACAAAATTAATTTGTGTCAAAAGCTCCCGATATATTACAAAAACGCCATGTACACTTGGGTGCAGGGGTGAGATGGAAAGATAAAAACACAGATAAGCCGTAAGCATACCTGATATTGACAAATCCAAGTCTTTGTCCTCTGAAGCATTCTCGCTTAGCAGGCGGTCGATTCGCTCAGCCACAGAAGGCGGAACCCTGAGTATGAATTGCTCCTCCATGTCTTAAGCTTTAAGTGAAATTTCTGTAAATTTATTACCGAACTAATCGTCGGGCTTGCGGAGATCAGGACAGGTCGTCGTCGTCGAGGCAAAGAGACATCTGGAGATCGCCGATTAACGGCCACACACCATCTGAAGTGCGATGTGCAATTAATACAGCTCCAAAATGGAACTTCAGGCGTGAGCTTTGATCGATCGTTTACTGCGGGCGACAAATTTGCGACTGTAAATGGTGTTTCTTCCAAACGGTTTTGGGCTTTGATTTGAGGATGATTTTTAGTGTACTAAATTTTGATGGTTTGATCAATTTAAGTCCTATTCGTATGATCTGATTTTAACCAGTCGAGTTAATGTATGGTATGATCTCATTTGATATGATATGTTCTGTTTGAATATGATCTGATTTGGAATTGAAAATATTCCAAGAAAAAATATCCTAAGTTTGGATGTGATAAAAGGCTGCATTGTAAAAACTGGACCCAGAAGTGATCTAGTCACATGATCTGTTACATGTTAACTAGGCCCCGATGGATCAACTCGGTCAAAGTCAGAAAACAGGCCAATACTCCCTCCGTCCCAATTTGATGATCCCATTTCTTTTGGGCTCAAATATTAAGAAAGTGGTTGAAAAGGTAAAAGTTGTGGTTGAGATTTGAGGAGAAAAAGGTGAAATGATGTGGACCACATATTTCTTTCCAAAAAGGGAAATGAGACTATCAATTTGGGACAGCCCAGAAAGGAAATACGGGATCATCAAATTGGGATGGAGGGAGTATCATTTATGACTCCGCTATTTTTTCTTTTCATTAATAACCTTTTCTGTTTTCAGATATGTTTTTTTATTTCATTTTTAGACCGATCGCCGCACACCTCTTCGTATATCACCTAACAGACGCAGAACAAAATCCCTATTACCGTTCTTCACCCTTTAGGTCAAACAAATTGGGAGAGTGCTGAGAAGCTTGGAGAGCGGCAACGAGATCAACTCCCTTCTTCGTACAGGGATTTCATGGCCGCGCGAAGATGGAGGATTATCGATCCCCAGCAACTCGTCTCCTGTATCCTCTTCTCAAACAGATAACAGAGCATCTCCCTGCCAAATTCTCAACCAGAAAGATTTCTTCTTCTTCTAAAAAATAATTAGGTAAATCTTACCAAGCCTACTGAGTTCAGTCATTAGATCGAATTTGTTACCTTTCTATGCTTAATTCGATCAAGTTTGTTACCTTTCTCTGCTTAAAATTTCTATTCGGCTACCACAGATTGCCTTTCTCTCCATCATTTTCTGTTCGTAAGTTCCGTTTTCTATCCATACTTTTTCGTTTGTTCAGGTTTGTTCAAGCTCTCGCTGATTTAGGTAAGCTTAATTTTTATTTTATTTTATGCACTTGCCTCAAATAAGGTAAAGCAAGTTTTAATGTGCATTGTAGAGAAAGTTAAATTGTTTGAACATGTAAATTGATGTAGGTACAAACATAAGCTTTGTAGAAGAGCTTATTAGAAATGTAAAGCAAGTATGTACATGTTAAATTTCCAAATCTCTGTTTCTATTTTATTTTATGCACCTACATTTTAAGATTACCTAATCAAGTTTGTCACCTTTTTCTTACAGACTCAAAAAATTACAGAAATTTCAGTTAACCATGAAGGATTTAAGAAATGGGTTGAAGTTGGAAATTCTGGAATGTTCAGACCTGAACTGTTGCTTCCTATGGGGCTTCCAGTACGTGTTATTGCTTGGGGCCTTTCCCTTGAGAGGCCAATTAACTATGCTACTTTATGGGATTGACAATATTAGAGAATTGTTTGGACATAAGATGGATATTGTCATCTTGGTCTCATAAAGAAGAACCACATATGCATACATGGATCTTGCACACTCTACTAAATGATGTTAGGTGGTTGTTTAGGAGATATCATTGTTTCATCAAAGTGTAAGTATAGCAAGACCAATTATTAGTGGGAATTTTGATACTTTCATGGTAAGTCAGTTGGTGATTTATGTGTGCATATACACACATGTGATATTTGTTTAGGTTGAACTTTGCTTACAGAAGCTGGAAAAACTGATACATGACCAAGAAACATTCTGAAGCTCTCTTTTGCAATAGTGCTATACCAGTTACGGGGAGGTTTTCAGCTCCTGGTTGCACTTTGTGTTGTATGTGTCTTTGCTGAGAGCATATTAAGATATGACTTGTCTCCATCCTTTTTATACATTGTCTTGTCACCGAAAAGCGAGAAGAAAGTGCGTTCAATTCTTGAGTCACTCTGTGATAGCTCAAACAGCACCTACTGAAAAGCAGAGGATGATGGTGCAGTTCGTGCTTTTGGAGGTGATACTGATGTGCATCCTTATGTCTCCTTCACAATATAATGAATCTTGCTCAAGTGAGTTGTGTCATTGCATTATCTATTTCAATGGGGCATTTGATTTGTTTTTTTTTTTCAATAAACTAATAAAGGACGTGCTGTGTCTGGATATGCTACATGTAATAATATCCCCCTTTTCAATTTAAAAACAAAAGGTTGTAATTTGCTTACTTTAATTGTCCTCTTATAATTCTCAGGAAATGAAAGTGGAAAATCAAGGATACTTAGCTCAAGCAAAGTACCATATCTTATGCCTTTCTCAATGAATTAATGCCCCTCCACACTGACTAATTTGCAAGTCACAAGCTGCTTTAATCTTCCATTGTTCCATATGTATACTTTAATTTGATTTTTAGTTTTGCTTCTTTCAATGTGACCGTCATTGGTTTTTAGCTCTCTGTTTACTGATATAGATTTTGTTGGAACATTAACTTCTCAGGGTGAATGCAATTAGGCTCAAAAGCTCTTCAAGTTGATTACATTACAAATTAAGAAGGCACTCCCAAATACAGTTGAACTTGTGATGACTGATGAAGCACAAAGTGAAATATGGCATCATTACTCTACTAGGGAGGAATCATAGGAATGGGGAGCCATAAGAAATGCTAGTGTCCAATATTATAATTATATTTCTCCCGGCAGAGACACGTTCTTCTCTTTAAAGCTGGAAATATATTCTAAACACATTTTCGATCTGAACATGGTGCACAAAAGAAACACATATAGTTTGAATTGTTTTTTCATTGTGATTCCTGCATATGTTTTATTGTTGCTATTTGTTGCATGGTGTTACTTTTTTGTTGTTGCTTTTTGTTGTATCATGTTGCTTTTTGTTGTTTCTTGTTTCTTTTGGTTTCTTATTGTTTATTTATTTGTTAACTATTCATTTTTCTTTTTGTTTATTTGGGTATCTGTTCATTTTTGGGGCTTTGGAATAAAAAACCAATATATATATTATAATTTTAAGTTTGAGTTATAGAAAATCAACAAGAAACACTACTAAACAATAAAAACAAAATTTCCAAAGTTAACAACAAAAATAAACATAATGAAACAATATGCAACAAAAATAACAACACTATACCATGGTGATATAAATAATTTTTTTGTGATTAGAAAATATCAAATCACGAAATTGATATTATTTTTATTACAATTGTTTCCAACTTTTACAGATTTTCTACATTTTATTTATTTATATTATATCAAATTTTTAATTTTAATTTCTATAATTTATTTCTTATAGCTTCTAAACCAATCTATTTTTTAGTATTTTTGAAGTTATGTAATTATTACCGACTGATTTTTTTAAAGCTTTTATATTCATTTGAATTTTTATTAATTTATCTAATTTTTATTGTAAAACTTTTACTCTTTCCAGTTTTTTTAATTATTATCATGTTTATTAATATTTTTAACTTTTAATTTTTGTTTTTAGAAAGTTTAGGATTCTTGATATTAAGTTTGAATTATAGAAAATCAACAAGAAACAAGAAAAAAAAAGTATTAACATTTTTGCATTTTTTGATGAAGTTTTAAATTTTTTTACTACTTTAATACTTTTATATTTATATATTTTCCTTTTTTAGTTATTTATAAATAATTTTATTTTTTAATATTTTGATAATTTTACACTCCGTACTTTTTATACTCCATACAAATTAAGGAGTACAGAACGCTTCTAAACAAAAAGTATCAACATTTTTTACTCTTTCCTTTTTTTCATTACAACAATGTTAGTTTGTACATTTTTTCCATGTTTTAAACCATTTGAAATATTTTTTATACGTTATTTTTTAATATTTTCTGATTTATTTAAATTCCTTTTTCCAATTTAATTTACAAGGCCTCAACTACGATTTTCACAATGCATAATTTTATTTTATTTTTCATACTTTTATTATATTTATATATGTAACGTTTTAGTTTTTATCTTAGTTTTTATCTTACTTATCTAATTACCTTCCATCTTTTTTTACATTTGTTTTCCATTATAACACAAGAATTAGAGTAATTTTGGGAGTTGGTCTAAGTTTAACAAAGAGAACGGTTCAAAAAAAATTTACCAGAGTGCAGAGATGGTCGTTACCTTGATACGTGCAGTGTAGGCAGGGAGCCGAAGTGCCGTTATGAGAGTATCGGTTCCAGTAGCTTGGTTGCATGTATATTGTCTATTTTTGAAAAGAAAAGTTTAAGTAGTCTATTTTTGAAAAAAAAAGATTAACAGTGACAAAAGTGATATTACTTTCACTTTTTGGTCTATTCCTTAAAAATTCCCTAAAAAATTATAATAAACATGCACAGTAATCATAAAAAAATTGAAAAGTAATTATTGCTCATTACAATCAACTTGTGGTAATAATCGATATGCATTTAAAACACTCTCATAATATTTTAAAACATAATTTTGATCATATTAGAATAAATAATGTTGTTTGTTATTTGTATTTTACTTTATAACATAATTCCAAATCATTTTCCTTCTTAAATAAATACAGAGTATATAAATATATCACATATTTTCTCTATTTAGAATATTGAAGTTGCAATTTTGATTGATTTAAATGATTATTAAAAACCATAAAATAATTAATTTTTTGAAAAAAAAACTCCAAACCCGATATTTTCAGGGTTGTCTGGGGTTTTCCGAGTTGACCAGGTCTTCCGATATTTTGCCATTTTCGTATTTTTAACCACCCAACCAGTTTGTTGTTCGGGTTGCTGGTTTTCGGGTCAAATATACCTCTGTTCTATTTTTTGAAACAAATATATCTCTGAAGTTTTTTTATCGAATACTCCTGAAGTATTTGTGAAAGTGCATATATACCCTTGAACTTTTAAAAAGGTACAAATATACCCCTCATATTCTTATAAAGGAACAAATATACTCTTATTGACTTTAAATTGATAAAATAAATTTCAAAACACACCAAACATAAATTATAAATTCCAAATTAAAAAATAAAAAATTTAAAAATGT